GGCAGCTTCTGAGGTTAAGTACTTAGGTATCCTAATTGACTGTAACTTACGATGGAAAGCCCATGTAGACAATGTAACTAAACGAATAAGATTGTTAACGTACAAAATTAAATTACTTAAACCAATATTACCTGACAATTTATTAAATATGGTATATTACGCTACAGTACAGTCGGTTATTATGTATGGCATTTTAGGATGGGGTGCAGTAGCAGAATGTTATTTGCATCAATTAGAAATTTTACAGAAACGGATTATTAAAATACTTATGGGTAAAGGACTATCGCTACCCTACCAATCTTCTGTTCGCTGAATCGGGATTATGAATGATTCGACAATTGTATCTGCAAAAGATTGCTACTTTTACTTTTGAGCGCAAAGATACATATAAAGTGCTTGCCCATGAACATTATACTAGAAGCAACCAAAAGACGTTAATAATTCCTAAAACGAGTACTTCTCATGCCCATCATCATGCATTATACTTGGGTGTTAAGCTTTATAACAAAATGCCTATCTATTTAAAAAATTGCGAGACCCTACATGCTTTAAGGATTGGCTATTAGGAGTAGAATTGCATTTTTACTCCAAGCTAACGTGAATCTCTTTCTAGCCCTTATGTGGTTCTATATTTTGTTTTGTTCTTTTTTTTGTATTAGTGTACATACTCGATGACCCATCACGCACGAGCCTTGGCTTATGTGATTGTTGCCAATTTTTTCATTATATCTATAACCACATATTATGCTAAATAAATACAATACAATAACAATACAATCTAAGAGTAACGGTGAAAACCGCAAGTCGCTACGCCGTTTCGTTATTAAATGGCAAGGTGTCGAATGTAAAAAAACGGTCGTTGTGACGTCATCCCGACAAATGGGTCGGTGGCGCGCTATAGCAATATATGGATTCGATGACGTTTGACGTGTTAATTTGAGACTGGTAGTCAGTGATCTGCATTATTTTCAAAAATACCTAACTTTGTGTTTTCCGCTGCAACAATAATTTGAAAAATGCCAATGTTACATTGCAAATTTTCCCCGAGAAAAGAAGGAGCCGTGTCGAAATAAAGTCTGGAAAAGTAGAAAAACCGCTGAATCATAGTATAGTCACGTCGTTTGCAGTGTCCACTTTAAAGATGATAATTTTTTTTGGAAGATACAAGAAGGAAAGGACCCTGTGCCTCAGCATAAAGTTTTGAGAAGGCTAACAATACTGCAATCCCTTCTTTACATCTCACAGGAAACAAAGGTCCTAATAAAGCTATAAAACGTCAGTCAACTTATCTAAGAAAGTAAGATTGTGTCTGATTGCTTATTTTGGGTAAACGATCAATTTCGTAGTGGAGAAACCAGTTCAACATCAAACATAATATGCCACAATCAAACAGAATAACTGAATCAAATGGAACCGATACCGCTTACTGAAAGCATAGGTATCCAATCTGAGCTGGGTACAGAAATTTATTACAAATATTCAAATTTATATGAGGATATATGTTCGGATGATTCTTCAGTGAGGTTTTCTTGTTTTTTTCAAAGGAAAGCGAACTAGAATATGAAAGAACTGACGCATTTGGACTGCTTGGATCCGTGCCGCCGCACCCACGATGTCGGGATGACGTCACATGTTCTGTCTTTCAAACTTTCATCGTTAATAATTTGAAAACTACTCATCGTAGAAAACTCCGGTTTGAAATTTTGTTCTTAGATTTTCTTCTATAATTTTTTTGATTTTGGGTATACTACCCCTTTAAGATATTATTTCCACCTATTATGATAATACATATATTTTTTTTATTTTATTTTTATTTTATTTTTATTCCCTCTCTTGTTTTGGGCCCTCAACAGGCATGCGCCAATTACAGAGTGAACCGCATAATGCTATTTAGAGGTGCCTCTGCAGAAGGTCTTAAGATGGTAGCCGGTAGAATGCTCGAACTGGCCTAAGGTAATTTCCATCTCCGCCAACAGATGAAAAATTCACTCAACCCAGGTTCGAACACCCGACCTTCGGATTTATAACCACTGAGCCATAAATCCGATAAATCCGATTTTAAAAAATATGTATCGCGATCTTCAAAAAAAATCAAAACGCTAACGTAAGGATAGGCAACTCAAATTGCACTATAACTCCTGAGGTGACAACTCATTACTTGAAAGGGAAAACAAAAGAAACTACTTGGGATTATCCTGCACATAGTTACGCCGTTCCTAATGATATGGATTAAATAAATTACTATATAATTAGCTAATGTTCATGATTCATGAATGCTGTTGATTTGTGAATCATAATGCCACATATTCCCAAGACGAAAAGTGCACTAAATGCATATTTAATGTAGACGTTGGAAATATTTTTTGATTTCTACAACTTTGCTTTTTAGAGGTGCCCCTGCAGAAGGTCCTAAGTTGTTCTATACTACTCCGGTATTTACCTTGCGAATTATGAAGACTGCAGGAAAACCTAATTCGGAGTAGCCGGCAGAATGCTCGAAACTGATCTAAGGAAATTCCCATCTCTGCCCCAAATGAAAAATTCACCTCAACTCAGGTTATTGGTTTTGTTCTAGGTCAAAATTAACGCCAGAAAAAATATTTCATAAAAAAAACTTAAAATTCGCTTTTTTTAAAATATTTCAAAAACCAAAAAACTTTTCAGGGTCTTATGTCTTATTAGACTTTTGATCGCGCAGCTTTTCTCCTCTTTAACCCAATTTGTATCTTTCACCGTTTCTAGCATGTCCATAGCGGGCCTCCTTTTCTCGGACACAGATGTAACTTGCAATTTCAATATGAATTCCAAAAATGCTTCAAAATACCCACGCCTTGGTTATAGTGTTGGGCGATGGACATTTCGAACGGTACATCCGGTACATTAAACTGCTATTTTCATTTACGTATGGGTTTTTTAAATTAAACCCAACAAAATAAATGATTTTTATTAGAGTCCACAAAATAACAGGTAGGTAAAATCCCGACATTTTGAAGAGAAAGCTCTCTTTTATTGAACCAATCAAAACCAAAGTTCGACCATATGTTAGCGAATTGAATAACCTTTCAGTAGATGTATAATTTCGTTCTCTTTGATTCAAATTTAAAGTTGTTTGACAGTTGAACACTTTACCTCAGGGGGTAAATTTGGGTTAGGACATCCTGTATAAGTTAAATTCATCTGCATTTAACGAGAAATTGTGGTTGAAACAGGTGTAAACTTTGTTCCGAGTGCGAGATACACGTAGAGAGGTAATTTTAGAAAGAATCCAAAAGACCTTTTGTCATAATAGCTGCGGTGCACCCCTGGGGATGCTCGCTTTGACCCCCCCTCTTCAATATGTAATATTGACCCAATCTACAAGAGTCAAAGGAAAGTAATACAGGTTACAAGCATGGAAACACTTTTGCGCCTACTATTGGTACTTTTATGAGAAACAAATTAATTAAATAAATGGCATTTTATGTGAATACCAATCCGATGAAAATTTATATCCCAGTAGTGTTAGCTTTGTGAAATTGGACGCTCTAAATTTGAGGCAGAATGTGATAAAGTGTTACCTACTCAATTCATCAATATGAATTAAAATCGAATTAGCAACCCGTCAGTAAAGCTCAGATCATTTATCAAAGAGAACGTGAAACGAAATTAATGAATTTTAGGGCATGTAACCAAGCTAAATTGAATGGAATGGTTCTTTAGATTACATTAGATAGAAATTAGCCATTTTTCAGCCAGTTCGTACAGAGCTGCATTCTTTGTCGAAACAATAGAAGTGACCGTTCAAGTGCTCACTCAAAAAATTTTGATATTACACACAATAATATTATGTCAAACGAATAACAAATGACCCAACAACTTTAATAAATCATGTACAAAATTGACATAGTGCCAATTTCCAACATTGCAGCAAGCTAATCTAGATATGAGCGAATTACGTTTCATAGTACCTTCCTACTGCATAATGCAGTTTTTATGATCTAGGTTGATACAGTCTAATGGAATACAAAAATGTCATATCGTTATAAGGTAAGACCTTCTCAATTACGCATTTCCTTTGAATACATCGAGCAGTAACATTTAATTTCCTGAATTATTACAATTAAGTTAAATCAATTAAACAATTCCCTATAATCCTAGCGCTTTGTTTACCTACTGCTTCATGTCAATAATAAATTTATAATTCATTTACCTATATATTTTTTATGAGCTTTTCGTGCAGATGATATGTATCGACTATTTTAACGTTTGTATTTAATTGCCTTTTAATTGCACCTGCATTGTACTTGCATGCGAAAAACCAATGTTATAAAACCCACCATTGACCATTCCCAAGCAACGACTACATCCAAATCAATCACTATAAACTTGTAGCAAGAATTGCCCAGTGTAGGTGTCAAAATTATGATAACAGTTGGCAAATAAATGCTTGTAATGCAGGATTATAAATTTTACGATTTAAGTTTGGATGCGGAATCGTGTTAATGGTAAAGCAGTTAAGACGATTTAGGGCTTTTATAAGGAGACTGAACTATCCGTAATTATTATTATGGTCGGTGTTTCTTGTGAGAACTCAGGTCTAGCCTGGTTAACTAATCGCACGGATTAAAATCAAGTAACGATTAGTGTCTGTGTCTGTGTCTGGTGAAGTTATGTAGGGTTCTAAAAAAAAAATAAAAAAAAAAATAAATATTCACACACTCACATTGGAAATCTAGGGATAGTATGTAATTCATACTTA